ATAAAAAATACTTTATAATTAACTATATTTTACTTAGTATATTCTACTAAGTAAGATATAGTATATTATTCTTATTAATAATATAATAATAGTACTTATTTACAAAGTATATAGTAGAGAGAGAGTTATAGAATATTTATTTATTTTATTTATACTATATATCTTTTTATACTAAATTAATTCTAAACTATTTTAGAAATAATTTACTTAGAAATAGCACTTAACTATCTACTAAAACTACTACTCTTAGAGAGAGTAGATAAACGCTTAGAAGAAAAGTATAAGAAGAACTAGTAAGATTTATACTTATTCTCTTTATTCTAGAAGAAAGTATAATCTAAATTTATTAGAAATAATTCTAAATTATTCTAGAAATAATCTAAATAAAACTTACCTTAAATATAGTCTATATTTAGGCTATTAATATTATATATCTAGCAGAGAAGCTTATCTTTAAGCTAATTATTATAGTAGTCTCTAACTATATTAGTTATAGTAGTAAAGTTAAGCTATAAAAGTTAGAAATAATTTAGAAATATTTAAGAAATAATTTACCTATTCTTTTTCTAAATTATTAACTTAGATAATATTCTAGAGAGAGTATTTCTAGTCTTTCTACTCTTTTTTCTCTTTCTTATTATCTAGTGTAGTAGTAGAGTTCTTAAAATTATTATAGTCTAAATTATTTACTAATTAATCTAACTTATAGTCTAAATTATTTAATAAATAATCTAACTTAGACTTATTATTAAATTCTAGCTAGGCAGAAGCCTATATAGATATAGAGTTAGTAGAAGAGATAGAAGAGTTAGTAGAGAGGTTAGTAATAGCGTTATAAGTAGCTATAATCTAAATATAGAAACCTAAATAGAATTAATTAAGAATTAATTAAGAAATAATTTAAATAAACTTATGTATTTTAGCTTAGATCTAGACGTTAGTAGAATTTCTAACTTACTTAGTAAACGCTATTCTTAGCTAGTAAGCTTAGCGTAGATAGTTTCTAAGCGTAGTATAACTTATATACTTCTACTAGAAAAAATATTAGAAATAATTAAGAAATAATTTAGAAATAATTTATACTTTATAAAGAATTCTGCCTTAGATTCTAATATAGTAGTATAGCTAACTTATATAGATAATAAGTTTACTCTATATATTAGTAGAAAAAAGTAGGTACCTAAATAAGTATTAGTTAAGCTAGAGAAATTACTTATAAGTAGGCTAAATTTATTAGAATTATTTATAGATTAATCTAGAAATAGTTTATATATTTTCTTAGAGTATACTCTAGATTTAGTAGGCTATTATAGGTAGTATAGTTTAGTAAAAAGGTTTAGTAAAGTTATATTATTATTATTTAAGTAGAATTATTTCTAAAATAATCTATAATTAATTTGCTAAGGCGCTACTTTAGCGTGTGTATTAACTACGCACAGATGCCTTAGCATGCTATGTCTTAGCGCGCCCTTAGTTAGATGGCCTGCGTCCTAAGACGCGCTACCGCGTGAGTCTTAGCGTTATGGCTCCGGCGGCCTTCTATCGATAAGTAGGCCCCCGGATCTCCCTAGCAGCTCCCATCGCCATTGCCAGCGCCATTCCAGCACTTGCCACCCTTCGATGCTCGCTGCAAGACAACTCATGGAATATTCACACTCCTTCCAGCTCCCGCGAATACCAAACGTCTTATTAATACGGCGGTGTTTACGGAACACGTCCTGACAGCCCCAACCCCACATTCATACCTCCATCACACCACGTACATCGGTCGCTACGAATACCTTCAGCCTAGGTTTACCGGTGAATATTTCATAATCACGTGTTATTTTGCATAATATGGCCTCCCGACACGAGCCTAAGCAGAGCCCAGCTGAGCGGCGGAAGGGCGAGTCTGTAAGTATCAACCCAAGAGAAGCCCGTCTCTCCCCAAGCTGGCTGCTGTACCCCAGATATATTCCTTGCTTTGACACTGCGATGAGTATGGCACGGGACTACTCAATTCCGCTGGGTCATGGTTCGCGCAGAGTAGCACAAGCAGGGGAAACGGGCTTCTTGTAGCACGAAGGCGATCGCATCGTACTCTAGACGGATTAACCATTGAGGCTCCAGACGACGTACTCAGGCTAATGTACATACCAGGCGCTCAGCGAATTCGCCGACTACGTCCAGAAACAACAGGCGCTGCGCCGACCGCCAGGCCAGACCCCCGCCGTCCTCGAACACCACGATGAGCTGAGCATCCTCGACGAGCTCGGCCTCTCCGATGACAACAAGGCGCACATCCGTCTAAAGACGCTCCTTACCGACCACGCCGAAGAGAACGTCGCAGCGCTCGCTGAGCATATCCAGGGGCGCCTGGCCGAGGGCCATGGGGAGGCTCTGTTCGATGTTGGCCTGGAAGACAGCGGTGACTCCATGGGCTTCAATGAGGAGCAGTGGAAGTTTGCCTTGGAGAGGATACAAGTTGCCTGCGAGAAGATCAAAGCCGACTATAAGATGCTCATGACGCGGAACGTTGGTGGTGACGTCGAAGTCGGACCTCGCAATGCGAAGGAGCTTGGCTTAAGCGGCAAGATGATCTTGCGACAACAGCCGCAGAGTGTCGACGATGTGATAGAGACGCGGATAGCGGTTGTAGGAAATGGTGAGTGTCTCCCGGCGCAATTGAGAATATACACTGACAATTGACAGTCGACGCTGGCAAAAGTACCATGCTCGGTGTCCTCGTTAAAGGCGGCCTCGACGATGGCCGCGGAAAAGCGCGCGTCAACCTCTTCCGCCACAAACACGAAATCGAGAGTGGTCGAACCAGCTCAGTCGGCATGGAGATAATGGGCTTTGACAGCAAGAGCGAAGTCGTTGTGTCGAACGTCGCAGGTCGAAAACTTACTTGGGAAGAGATTGGACGGCGATCCGCCAAGGTCATCAGCTTCACTGATCTCGCTGGTCACGAGAGATACCTGCGGACTACCGTCTTTGGGCTGCTGTCAAGCGAGCCTAACTACTGTCTGTTGATGATCGCGGCAAACAACGGTTTAGTGGGCATGAGTAAAGAGCATCTCGGAATCGCACTTGCGCTCAACGTCCCCGTCATGGTCGTTATCACCAAAATCGACATTTGTCCGCCACAGATCCTTGAACAGACTATAACTCAGCTGTCCAAGATCCTCAAATCTCCAGGAGCGCGAAAGATACCGGTATTCATCAACAATAGGGAGGAGTGCATCACCACCGCTACCCAATTTGTGTCGAGTCGCATATGTCCCATCTTCCAAGTGTCCAATGTCACTGGTCACAACCTGGACCTAGTGCGCATGTTCCTCAACGCACTACCGCATCACGGCAATTACGACGCCTCTGCTCCTCTGGAGTTCCACGTCAACGACACATTCTCGGTCCCTTTCGTTGGCACTGTGGTTTCAGGTGTTGTCAAGTCTGGTGAGATACATTCTGGCGACACAGTTTTGATCGGTCCCGACAGTCTTGGCCAGTTCCAAACGACAAAGGTGCGTTCCGTCGAGCGCAAACGAATACAAGTTCCAGGATGCTCTGCTGGCCAGTCCGCTAGTCTCGCGCTGCGCAACGTTCGGCGGAAAGATGTGCGAAAAGGCATGGTCGTTTTGCACAAGGCTGAGAAGCCTGATCCAACAACTGGGATATTACCATCCCCGAAAGTGTACCGCGAGTTCGTTGCCGAAGTCTTGATCTTGTCGCACGCGACGACTATCAAAACCAAGTACCAGGCTATGCTACACGTTGGACCAGTGTCCCAGACCTGCGCCATCATCGACATCGACCGCCAGTACATCCGCACCGGTGACCGAGCACAGGTAGCCTTCCGCTTCGTACAGCGACCGGAGTATTTGACTGTCGGCGATCGGATACTATTCCGTGAGGGCAGGACGAAAGGATTGGGTATTGTCAAGAGAGTCGGTTATGACTCGAAGCATCCGCTGAACCCGGAGTTGCACAAAGACGACAAGAAGAAGGACAGCCAACTGGACGGGAAGAAGATGGAAGCCTCATGACGGGTTAGAACGTAGAAGTCAACATAGATCTCATGACCTGCTTGAGCAATCGCATTAGAAGATTGGTCGACGTCACGTAATCAACGCGCTAGAGACTAGCTGTCATGAATGATATAATGGTTCGAATTCGCATGAGAAAATCCCAGCTGGGACCCAACTTTGCTGTGTCAGCTGTACTGGTGGTGCCAGTATTTCACATGATAGCGGCTGTTGGCGCTCAAGCATGGTATTTGATACGCTTGGTTCGAGGTGGCGCAACGTGTTGAAGATCGCGGTGCTGACAGCCGCGTATCGATAACAGTGTCGCAACGGCGCAACTACTGTGGCCTCATTCGAAGCTTCTGAGCAACACAGCGGCGCCTGTCTTAACTCACAAACCTCTTCATCATATTCTTCATCTCACATGCGAACTTTGAAGTAATCCATCCATGTTAAGATCAACTAGCCGCGATCAGGAGGATCGCAGCACAACGCGGGCGGACTGCCGCACACTGCGACGGCACCTGAGAGCATCGCCACGTTTTTCGTGATTCAAGCAGACCTGAAAACCACTGTGGGATTCTGGAAATTTTTTATTCTCCCACGATGGCAACTACACACCCCGCACAGTCGACGCTGTACCCCAAGATCACGACACACATCCCTGAGATCATCGAGCAGCTGCGGCGCTTGAACCGCGATCCTGCCCATCCAGAAGCAAACATTACTGTGGACCCAGTACCTTTCGTGGGTACTGTCAAACTTCATGGCACGCATGCAGACATACTCGTGTACCCTGACGATCGCATCGTCTTCCAGTCACGCAACATAACTGGTTTGTCCGTCGCAAAAGATAATCAAGGATTTGCGTCACATATGTCAGAGAAGACCGAGGCCATACTGGGACTGCGAGACGTGTATCTGGCACGATGGAAAGAGCTAAACCCTAGCAAAACAGTCGAAGGAGACTCGCCCATCGTGATAGCCGGTGAATGGATAGGCGAGAAGATCCAAAAAGACGTCGCCATCGCACAACTATCACGCCGCTTCGTCATAGTCTCGGTTAACATCAACGCTGCATGGCAGAAGAACGAAGAATACAGCGATATCTGCTTGCCGGACTACGATATCTACAACGCCTCTAGAGCTGGCCTCTTCCATACAAAACTCTACCCTGACGACTACGAACGCACAGTATCAGAAGTCGAACGCATGACCGAAAGAGTCGCCGCTCACTGTCCTTTCGCATCTTCCTTCAGGATATCTGGCCTGGGCGAAGGCATCGTCTGGAAACCCGTACCTACCCAGTACAACGGCGACACTTCTCTCTGGTTCAAAAGCAAAGGAGGAAAGTTCAAGCCTACATTCTTCCGCGTTCCAAAACAACATGAAGGCGCCGATATCATCAAAGAGCGTAGAACAGCAGCCGCAGCCGTGGCAGTTGCATGGTGCTCGCAGCAGCGGTTAGAGCAAGGCTGGGATGTGTTACGCGAGAAAGGTGTTGAGCGCGATGTGAGAGCACTAGGTGACTTTTTGAAGTGGATACAACATGATATTTTGGAAGAAGAGAACAGCCATATCAAGAAGCATGGGGTGGATGAGGCGACGTTGAAGATTGAGATTGCTAAGATTGCTAAGCCTTGGTATCGGGCAAAGCTTAGGGAAGAGGATGCCTCGTGATGTCTAACAAACGGAAGATGTTCATCCGGAAGAGGCTTTCTGAAGACGATTGCAGACGATAAATTAAAATTGGGGAAGGTTTGTGCTCTCACGAGGAAAGCCGCAAACTTCCGACCCGGAGCTTATTAAAAGATATCTTGTCTTGGGCCGAGTAATCTTACCACTCGCTGAAAGTGCTACTTCAGTAGCGACAAAGAATTTCCATCGTATTTTGAGTTTCAATAAAGTCCGAGAAACGCAGGTCTACCATACCGATCAACGACACATGTCTGCGGCGACAGAAGATGCTTTGGCCGAAAAGAGGCCACAGATGCCCGAAAAATACACCTGGCTTCGCAAAGCTGATTCCCTCCAGGAAGGTTGCTGCGTCAGCCTGTGTGTCCCCACCTCCGCCATTGATGAAGCGCGTTCCAAAATGGCTGAGGGTGACCCAGAGGATGACCCAGAGGATTCAGTCGTCGATGCTGTTCTCAAGCGCGTCGTTGCAATAAAGATTCCCGGGAAAGACTCTAAGCAGCCTACCATGCATCACGAAGCACGTGTTCTCGACGACATACGCCGTCAAGCGTATCCTCGCAGCGGCGGTGCGCACTGCATCGAGCTATTAGACCACTACGACATGGACGCCATGGACCGGGGAGAACCAGGTTGGCTAGTCATGGCAAGCTCATCGGTATGCTGTGACCTTGACGCACTCTACAATTTCGATATCGGGAATAAGCTTGAAAAGGCTTTGCTCTGGCTCATGATTGCGCATGTCTACGAAGCAGTCTATTTCCTACACCGCAATTGCGACCCGCCCATTACACATGGCGATATCACTTTCGAAGCCATCCTTGTCAGCTGTCCCTACGAAAAAGGGAAGAACGGCAAGAGTGCGATTGCCAAACGCCCAAAAATCAGCCTGATAAGTTTTTCAGAGAGCGAGATGCATGATCCTAACGGCTCTCCAGATGATGTTGGACGCAAGGCTCGGGCAGAGGAAGAAGATGTCGAAAATCTGGACTCTGCGATCCAAAGACTTGTCAAACGTTGCTACGAGGGTTACGAACAGGGTTTTGTAGGAAAAGGAAAGGCGACATATAGCATAACAAAGAAAGTTTGGAAAGATGATACCCCAGAAGAGGTGAAGAGGTTTATGGCGAAGGACGTACAGGGTTTGAATGGCTTATGGGCTGATATTGGGAAGTTTGCCAAGGAGCAGTTGGAAGATGTTAGTGATGAGGAGTGGGAGGAGCTGAGGGACTCGATCATTGAGGTCACTGAATCGGAAGGAAAGTTGAGCGATATTGTCACGGACCTTCTAAAGGGTCAGCCTGTGGAGGATTAGGTGGCCAGCCCAAGATTATCATGATATTGAGAGACGATTAGATGTTGGTAACGAGCGTTTTCTCATCTGCTACAGATTTTGCATCACATAGTGATGTGCTCATTGTGTGCTTACGCTCCTACAACTTTTCCTATTTAGATCTCTCAACACGTATAAACAAGCTTCACTGTGTATGTTCTGCTCGAAAACTTGCACGTGTTCTCCTCACTATCTACTAGGCTCAGTGGTTTGACTTTTGTTTCTCAAACGTCCAAACCCACTCCAGACAACGCCCGTTCCCTTGTGTGTACTCCCTCATATATCCACTCCGCTTGCACCCGGGAATTACCAGCTCAGCCGCACGAGAGAGCTCCTTCTTCCAAGCATCTAAGTAATGATCTTCCAGACGCCTAGCTTTATTTGCGCTGTCGGTCTCCCCTCGCAAACTCCAATACCACACAAGCATTTTAGTATCATCAACAACGCCAACGAGGTGCACCTGGAGACGACGAAGCTCAGTGTGGCTAGATAAAATCTCGAGGCCAGAGAGGTTAAAGGTAAAGTCTGCCGCGCTGTTGGCAGCTAGTCGCTCATTGGTTGGGCGGACGAGTTTGATACAAACAGTGTCGAGCGGAGTCGATACATTAGCTGTCGCAGCGCTTCTATTGATCTCAGCCCGTGCTACTTCGCTGAGCCGGTAGACTCGCTTCACGTCATCGAAGATCATCGGCCAGTCGCACTGGATGAAGATCTCGTGCGTATGGCATTCTGATGGAGCGATGGCGTCTAAGATATAGCTTTGGGGATGTGTATCTAATATCCGGTTATCCAGGTGCCACGTTGACTTCTGGTGTAGCTGCCGGATGCCTTCGCGCATCATTTGCTTGTTGGTAAGAAGCCATGGGATTTTGTCAACAGCAGATGGTGCTTCAACCGAGTCGTGCCTTCGGTCATAGGTTACCTTGTAGTCTTTGGTATCATACCGCTGGACAAAGGTCTTTCTATCGCTCCAGAGGTAGTCGTAGATGATATCGCGGACTTCGGTTGGTAAGGTATTGAAAAACGGAGAATTCGACATTGGAGCGGTCGATGATTTTGATTTTCGATATGCTGTCGAAGACCCTAGTTAACATTCGCTTCGATTCTTGACGGAGTTGAGAGACTGGAGCAGAGACTTAGGCGAACTATGATCGTGAGATCTAATGGGGCTAGGCATTGTATATATCGGTAAAGGGAGCACCATGAATGCACTGTCCAACGGTGTGGCCCAGCAACACAGCGTGAATTGCGCATTGATGGCCGTGCACACAAAGGTAGCGCAGAAATCGGTCGTATGAATTATAGGTACTGGGTAGTCGAGTAGTCAGGGTGGCGGCTTCGATGCCGAACCCATAGCGAATCTGACGTTTGGCGACGATTGAAGCCATTGAATGGATGCAGCTTACTCCAATTGCAGAACAGACGGATGGCGCAGCCTAGGGAGTAGTTACCTACATATGTAAATGATATCCTCACTGATAGTTGTGTAGCAAAGAATATATTCACACAAGTAGTGGACTGCCAGCCCTTGCTTCGGGTTAGCATCTGCATTCCGGTGTCTTCGAAGCCCGCAGGCAGGAACGATCAACTCCAGTCTCGAAAGATTGCTGAGAACCCTCGGAGTCAGTCGTGGACAAGATGAAATCTCCATGGAAATCCAAATCTGCGTGCTTCTTGTCGAAAATGCCTGGTCGCTGTCAAACTCTTTTCGACTCCAAAATCAAACGCAGATGTACACCAAGCGAGAGGGATGAAAGTGTAGATGAGAATGTAGCCGTGAGTGACCGAAGTTGAGTGAGAAAGCGCACGAGTTCGATGTGCCAGCGTCGCCATCTATCACGGAGATGATGGTAGGAAGAAGGTGCGGAAGTCGCGACTTCGAGCTGGCCATTCTTGGTGCCGCAATGACGTTTCCCACGCGCACCGACCAACCTCGCCAAACGCGAACCTGTCGCGTCCTCACGTCGCGTCAGCTACGCCACCCAGCCCTGTCCCCGCACGGAGAAGACATGAGTAACACTGTTCGCGACATCACAAACAATGACCTTTATCGAGAATGAGCATGTCCATCTCACACAGTGCAAGACATCCGAAGACACGAAGAGAGGATTGTAATCTTTATGATTTGATACTAGGACTCCACGACAGAGTTTACAGGAAAACTATCTACTTCAATACCTCCAGGACACCAGTTCTCGCGACGCTATGATACAAAAGACAAAACAATGAAAGAGCTCTGCCTGCTACACCGTCTAAAACCCAGTATTTACAAATGAAACAAAGGGAACGCCAAATAATGCTAGTGATGATGATGCAGAACAAAAAGGAAAAGAGTGGTTTTAGGGAAGTTTCTAGTTCCCCCTACCGAGCAACTTCTTGCCTAGAGCCTTCGCTTTCTTCGTTTTCGGACCATCGGTGTCTTCTTCCATGACGCTGCCTTCTCGTCCACTCATACCACTGATGCCACTAACACCGGTCGCCACACTCGCAGCTCGCATGCTGGCTGCGCCGCTACCGGCTCTGCCTCGCATGTGTCCGGCGAAAGGTGCGCTGACACCAGCGATGTGTTTACTCAAGCTATGAATGAGATTCGCATGTACTGGCTCTGTGTTGTCTACTCTTGACAGCTCATCAGCAAAGGCGCGACCGTCGTCGACGTCTTCGGGGCCTAGTCCGTTGCTGTGATGATTCAAGCCACCCATGATGGAACCGTGTGTTGAGCGTGCTTGATTGGAAGTTGAAGGTGGTTTTGAGGATTGGAGAGACGAGCCTTCTTCCGAGACGGTGCTGATGAGACTACCTTGGCGGCCGGATGCGAAAGAACGGCGGGGCATGCGCTCTTCGGCTGAGAGGTCGGAGCCGCCGGGGGAGTGGTCGCGCATCGAGTTTGAATCGGTGCCGGAGAGATCGGGAGAGGTGTTGAGCATCGTGCTACTGTTGGCGAGCTGTCTCAGGCGCGACTGTGCTTTTGCTGAAGGTCGATGGTGCGAGATCTTGTTGCCAACGATTGTACCGGCGTGAGAGAGGAGCGCCCTCAGGACGTCTTTCTTGAGCTGTGTGACGAGGTCGAGGTTAGACCATGTCTTGTTGCGGTACTCAATTGTTGGCATCCTGAAGACTAGATCGTGTACATCTTCAAAGTTGCGTGTGCTCTTGCCCTTGTAGGAAAGACACAGTACCATGGACGGGATCTTGAAGTAAGCGACTGTCATGTACTCGCTCGCACGACTCATCATCTCAGTCAGATCATCACTTCTGGCTTCCTTCTTGTTCGTTTTCTTCTCCGCCAGATTGGTGCCGGTGCGGTAGAGTGCAAAGCGTTTTGCAGTTCGATCAGACTCGTTCAGAGTCTGGCTTGAGTTGGTAGTACTCGACCGGACGGAGCTTGGTCTTGTGGAGGTATTGGAGCTGTTTCCCAATGTAGGTACCACCAATGCGGAGCTCGGGTGAAGAGTGCGACGAAGCTCTGTACCACTACGAGAAGGGTTGTTGTCTTTGAAGAAACGGAAATAGTGAGCGCTTGGGCGCTTAACCAAACTCTTCCTCTTTGCGTCAGACTTCTGTACTGGATCGGGCAGCTGAAGTGTGGGCGTAAGTCGTTGTTTGAGCGCCTCCACAGCGCCGTCATCGGCTGAAAGCGAGGCGCTCATACTTGTCGCTCCAGAGATGATGCTATTGGTTTCTTCGTCTTCCTCATCCTGAGTCGGCAGAGTATGCTTGAGTAAGAAGGGCGACGAGTTCGCAGTCTTGCTGTCACCGTACGTAGGGAAGACATATTGCAATAGCTTCTTGCCGATCTGGTACTCCAACTGCACCTTTAGTGGATACAACTCAACTTCAAAGTGCTCTACGACAGGGATACCAGCGATCGATTCAAGCGCCACAAAGTACACCTTGAGGCATTTGGCGTTTTCCGGAAGAGTCTGATCTTGCTCCAGGAAAGGTGAAATCATCTCTGGGTATAGGGCGTTAGGTAGCAGGTTCAGACCTCGCACTTGCTCAATCTCCAAAGAGTTCGAGTTGGATCCATCGTTGTTGTCTGTGCGGTCGAATGCGACGTTCTTCAGTTGGAATTCTGCTAGTGACTCTGCGCCTTCGCGAAGCAGATGCCAAACGATGTCTGATGCAGAGACATACATCCGTAAAAGGCCAGTTGAATCTCTTGCTTGAGCACGATCGTCTTGCTTGCGTTGTGCGGTCGTGATCGCCTTCATGACGAAGAAGAGCTCGTCCTCGTAGACAGCCAAGTCTTTCTCAACTTCAATCCTGTCTTCCCAACCTTGCTTGTCCAGGTATTTCTCGTTGATCTGGAAGACATTTTTGATCTCTTCTAATTGCTGGATACGCTCTTGAAGACCCATGACTAGCTTTGGAGCTCCTGCGAGATCGGTGAAGTCGGAAGCAAGCATAATCTTCTCAAGTCGCTCATTACGCGTCTTTTCCAAAGGCTCGTGGTACAGCAAAAGATCTAATACGATGACGTACATCGCATAGTACTGCCTGGAATCGCACAGGGCCCGCACGTGTGGGAAGTCCACCCATAGATGGTCAATACGGCTCTCCATGTTGTCAGCAGATGTGGCCGAGTCGGCAGCCGAGACATCGTCGTTGTACTTCAGGCGCAGCGCGTTGTGCTTGTCGTAGCGCATGCTGGCTGAAGTTCGCTGTACTACCCGCTGGAAGCCGAATGGATTGCTATGGAACTCGAACATGACCTCGAAAGGTACCCATGGTGGCCACGCTGAGCCAGCTGGCGTTCCGTACATGCTTCCGGAGTACATGTGGATATCCTCCGGACTGCTAAAGGTCTTTGAGTTGGTGACGAAGATTTGCAAGCTGTCCATAGCTGCGATGAACCTTCGTTGAACGAGACCCGAGACCTCGTCCATGACACGGTCCTTGTCCATGATTTGTAGAACCTTGAGCTGCATGCCTTTGGCCGTGACAAGTACCGCAGACTTGGTGTCTTTCTCGCTCTGCAA